CTGCTTTCCATAGTGGCCAGGAAGCACTTTTGTGGTTTTTGTTTGCTTTATGAGATAGGGCTCACTTATATAGTCCAAGCTGTATTGAAACTAGTGATGATCCGCCTATCTCAGCGTCCCTCCCGGGGTGCTTCTGGAACCACAGGCATCCACTACCACTCCTGAGAAGTACTTTTAAGGAGGTAAGAGTGGAAGTCAGGCCACTTTCTACTCTCATGAGCCATTCCAGCCCATGCCTCTCCACTTATCTCAGGTAGGACCCACATCCCTTTTGTGTCCTGTCCTCAAGAGGCATTTCCTTCCCATCAGTGAATACATATTGCCTCTTTAGCAGAGTTAAGGAAGTCAAGCCCTTGTTTAATCAGGTTTTGCTCTAGTGGAAGAGCCAGACAAATGCTGGGCTTGGAGAAGCAGTGTTGGTGACATAGTTGTAGTATGACATGGGCTCAGCAGAGGCCATTTGCTTTTAGCTTTGTGACTTTCCTTAAGTTCCTTTTGCTCAGGGCCTTAGATGCCTTCTTTGTAAAATGGAGGAAACCATTCCTATCTCAATATTGTTACTAGAATGAATTGAGATGAGGTAGCATGTTTAGCTCAGTAACTTCTAAACAGGAAGCACTGAAATAGGTAGCTATGATGCTTCAAAGAGTTTGAAGCCCCTGCCCCAAATCCTCATGGTCACAAAGCTCTGCTGGGCCATCTTCTGACCTTCCGTCTCCCCAGACAGCACCCAAGAAAACCTCATTTGGCTCGCTGAAGGATGAAGACCGGATTTTCACCAACCTCTATGGCCGCCATGACTGGAGGTGAGACAGTGCCCTTGGCCTCCTGAGTCCCTTAGCAGAGCCTCTCCTTCACACCCTTTCCTACTTTGTCCAGGCTGAAAGGTGCCCAGCGTCGGGGTGACTGGTACAAGACAAAGGAGATCCTGCTGAAAGGGCCTGACTGGATCTTGGGTGAGATCAAGACATCTGGCTTACGGGGCCGTGGCGGTGCTGGCTTCCCCACTGGCCTCAAATGGAGCTTCATGAATAAGCCCTCAGATGGGAGGTTTGTGGGAAGTACCTTGAGATGTGGTTGTAGGCCAGACTAGGGGCAGCTGAAGCACTGAGCTTTGGGGCTAATTCTGGGAAATCTAGCAGAATTTAAGAGGATAGACAGAACTTAAGAGGTATCTCTGGGTTTCCTCAGCAGAGACACAAGAGATTACAATCCAAGATTTTGACACAGGCAGGTCTTACTATTATTCAAATCCCAACTTTGCCTTTTAGTAATTGTCAAGCTTTGAGGAATCCAAAGTTCCTTTTTTGTGCCTGAGTATGGTATGTAGGAATTAAAGAGATAACATTGGTTCAGCTTTTGACCTGCAATTTCAGTTGACACCTAGAAATGTAAGTTATAACATTTAGCTACAGGGCTGGCATAATGGTTCAGCAGGTAAGGGGGCCTGCTTCCAAGGCTGGTGACCTGAGGTCGTCTCTAGGATCCACTTGGAAGGAAGAGAAGGAAGAGAGCCCACTCCCACAAGTTATTCCCTGAGTGTCACATGTGTTAGGGCACATGCTGCCTCCACCAGTAAATGTATGTAATGAACGAAATAAATTTTCCAATACAAGGTCTCTCTGTATAACCCTGGCTATCCTGTAGACCAGACTGACTTCAGACTCAAGAGTACTGGGATTAAAGGTGTGACCAGCATGCCTAGCCCCCCCCCCCTTTTTTTTTTTAAATCAGCCACTTACCTCCTGTTAGCCCCAGAGCTGTAGTGGAAGTTGAGGAAGAATCTTTATGACCAAGAGCTGACTCAAGGGAAAGTGCAGGGAGAGATGCTGGGACTAAGGAGAACAAAGGCTTTTCCTGTGGACATACCTGGCCAAAGATGGACTAGGCTGTGAGCACCCTGTCACTGGTGCAGCAGAGAGGGCCTCAGGTAGGACAGAGAGGGTCAGCTTTTTTGAGGCTTCTCTGGGTACAAAAGGAATGGAATTTGGTTGGCAGTTGGGTCCTAGTGAGTCGGTAGCCTGACTGATGTTCAGGACCCCACAGGCCCAAGTATCTGGTGGTGAATGCTGACGAGGGAGAGCCAGGGACCTGTAAGGACCGAGAGATCATGCGCCATGACCCTCATAAGCTGGTGGAGGGCTGCCTGGTGGGGGGCCGGGCCATGGGCGCCCGGGCTGCCTACATCTACATCCGAGGGGAGTTCTACAATGAAGCCTCCAATCTGCAGGTGAGCACATGCTGTTAGCTGACAGTGCATGCACTCCTCACATACTCCCTTTCCTGGTCAACCATTCTTAGATGGTAGCGCCAGTCTCTGGTCCAGCAGGGGGCGGGGGAGCCATTTCTGCATTCGTCATCCATAGGACCTGGCTCCAGAGTTCTTCTTTTGTGCTTCAAAGGCCGATTAGGAAGTCTTTAAGGGTCCCACGGCCCCTGGATTGGAGGCTGACTCTGGAGGACGGTGGCTTGGGAATTCACACCTTGTTCCACAGGTAGCTATCCGAGAGGCCTATGAAGCAGGTCTTATTGGCAAGAATGCCTGTGGCTCTGACTATGATTTTGACGTGTTTGTGGTGCGTGGGGCCGGAGCCTACATTTGTGGAGAGGAGACGGCACTCATTGAGTCCATTGAGGGCAAGCAGGGAAAGCCACGCCTGAAGCCACCCTTTCCAGCAGATGTGGGTAAGACCCTGTGGGATCGCGATGTGATGGGTGCTCCCTGGGTGCTTCTTACAATATTTCTCTGTGCCCTTTGGAGGGGAGGACAGATTGCTAGGGGAGGGTGTTAATAACAGACTCCACCAGCACCACCACCATTGCCCCCCCTCTGGCAGTGAACTTTCTTTCACAGTACCTGTTCTAGGAGCTAGGGGTGTGGTGGTGAACAGGAGATGAGCTTCTAAGGAGTCTGGGGTGCAGTGTGGAACAGGAGTGAAGAGACAAGAATAGGACCTGCCACAGGACCAGGACAGGAGTCATCCCCCTGCAAGAAACATGTTCTCAGCCAGGCAGTGGAGGCACATGCCTTAATTCACCACTTGGGAGGCAGAGACAGTTGGATCTCTGTGAATTCAAGGCTAGCTTGGTCTCCAGAGCAAGTTCCAGGACAGCTGGCTACACAGAGAAACCCTGTCTTAAAAACAAAACAAAACAAACCAAACCATGTTCCCTTTCCTGGGAAGCCACCAGTCACCAGTATCTTTTCATTTCCTTGAAGGAGTGTTTGGATGCCCCACAACTGTGGCCAATGTGGAGACAGTGGCTGTGTCCCCCACCATCTGCCGTCGGGGGGGTGCCTGGTTTGCTGGCTTTGGCCGAGAACGCAACTCAGGTACCAAACTGTTCAACATCTCTGGCCATGTCAACAACCCCTGCACTGTGGAGGAGGAGATGTCTGTGCCACTGAAGGAGCTGATTGAGAAGCATGCTGGTAAGCCTGGGGAAACCAGAGTAGGCAGGGCGCTGAGAAAGGCCACAGTGAGAAGTCTCTGGCTGACGTTGGTCCTGTCTTAAGCCCAGGCAGGTGTGCCAGGCTTAGCCATAATTCTTTTGGGAATTGTCACAGGTGGTGTCACTGGTGGCTGGGACAACCTCCTTGCTGTGATTCCTGGTGGATCATCCACTCCGCTGATCCCTAAGTCTGTGTGTGAGACAGTGTTGATGGACTTTGATGCACTGGTGCAGGCCCAGACAGGCCTGGGCACAGCTGCAGTGATTGTCATGGATCGCTCGGTAATAGCCCATGCCCCACAGTCCTCCTGCCAGCCATGGTGTTACCCCCTCCCCCCAATGCTTATAGCCTGAGATCCCAGTACAATGGGAGGGTCTGGGCCAGAACACTGGAACCCAGTTCAGGGGTGTTGTGGGAGGCTAAGGTGTCTGTGCATTGTTCCTTGTCTCCTAGACAGACATTGTGAAAGCTATTGCTCGTCTCATTGAGTTCTATAAGCATGAGAGCTGTGGCCAGTGTACCCCATGCCGTGAGGGTGAGCTTCCTGGAAAGGCTGGGGTTTGGCTGCTGGGCTGTTCTTAACCTTCCCTTATGAGGCCTGTTCTCCTTCGGGTTGCCCCCTTCCTGATGGGAGAGCCTCAGGCCCTTCTTGCTGCTCTGCTGCAGGTGTCGACTGGATGAACAAAGTAATGGCCCGCTTTGTGAAGGGGGATGCCCGGCCAGCTGAGATTGACTCCCTGTGGGAGATCAGCAAGCAGATAGAGGGCCACACCATTTGCGCTCTGGGTGATGGGGCCGCCTGGCCAGTACAGGTACACACTGCCCTGCTGTGTGACACTAAGGTGGGTGGTATTCAGAGCCTGCGCTTTGGGAATTTGGAACTCTGGTTCATACAGTGCCTCCCTCTTCTTCCCAGGGTCTGATCCGACACTTCCGGCCAGAGCTTGAGGAGCGAATGCAACAGTTCGCACACCAGGCCCAGCATGCAAACTTCTGAGCCTGTGCCCTGGCCTGGTTATTTCACATCCCTTTGGGAAGCTGGACAATAAACAAATGCTGTGTGCTCTCCAATCACAGCTTGTCTGTGACATTGCTTTTCACTGGGCAAGAGAAGCAGGATGGGACAGGGAGGCAAAGGCTGGGCTTGGCCTACTTTTCTTTTTGTGACACTAGAGGATCCTTCTCAGAGCTTTGGGTATGCTGGTGAGCATGCTGCCACTGAGCTATATCCCCAGTCCAGAACCTGGCCCAGTGCAGCCTCTAAGGCAGTGTTTCTTAGTCTTGTGAGTCATGGCCCTTGGGGGGAGGGTTTCATATATCAGATGTTTATATTATGATTCATAACAGTAGCAAAACTAGTTATGAAGTAGCAACAAAATAATTTTATGGTTGGGAGTCACCAGAACATAAGGAAGGGTTGTACCATTAGGAAGGTTGAGGACCACTGCTCTAAGGGGTGGAAAACAGGAGAATATGAGCCTCGTCCGCCCTGTGAGGTGAGGGCAGACAAGAGGCAGATGTTCCTAAAGAAAGGACAGGCTTCCGCTGGCAGAAGCAGATGTTTATTTTGCATTGTGTTTGAAGGTAGGGTGACTGAAAGGATATAGGAATGGGCACAGCAGGTAGGGCCAACCTACAGCTCTTTCGCTGCAGCAGACATCTTGGCCCCTACAGGCTACAAGCAGGGCCTTGTGCTGACTAGTCACCAAGCTGGGGGGGCACACTGTCCAGCAGGTGCCACAGTTCCAGCCGGCGGTCACTGCGGCTCAGGCATTCACGCCAGTGGTGAAGGCGCTCCCCACTGGCTCTGCTACTCAGCTGTACCCCACCTGCAGAGGGATGAGTCAGTAGCCAGCAGAGGCTCATGAGGGCCCCCTCAGCACCCTGTGTTTCTGCTCACCGATGAAATCATCAGCTGTGCCCAGGTCATAGTCCCACACAGACACCAGCAGTGCCTTCTGGGCCAACTCCTCCCGATGACCTGCATAAAAGAATTCCTATAGGGAAGGGACAGGAAGGAGGTGAGTTCTGAGTGCTTAGAAATAGGTTCAGGCAGGGCTTAGTTTGCTAAATAGGGACCACACTTGACCAGGTTCTCCCTCCGTGACCTACCTCATTGAACTCAGGGTTCAGGGTCTTTCTCCGAACACTGGTCTTATATTTGGATTTCTTTCCAGAACTTGGGTGCAGGAAACTGAAGGGAGAGGTGGGCTAGTTAGGTGTGACCCTGCAGAGCGAGGGGTTCTCTCTCACCCTTTATGCCCACCTGCCTGTCTCTACTCACAGGCGGACAAAGGGGTCCGAGTAGCCGTTGGCATCCATGGGGGCCAGGTGGGCGCAGCGCAGCACCCCCACCAGCAGGCCACCACGCTGGGAGCTGTAGCACAGGGACAGTAGGATGCGCCCACGTTCTTCCCCAGACAGCTCTGCCTCCATCTCCTCCTGTGAATGCAAGCTAGTCAGACCCTGTCCAGTCTGAAGACTCCCACCTGCAGGGGCCAGTCCCCAGTGCGAGGGCATGCATGGCTGTAGAGAAACCTGGCTGTCAAGTTTATTTCCCTAAACAGCCATTTTCCCAGAACCCAATGAAGAGACCTTGCAGTGGCACTCAGAGGTCTGTGCCCTCCAAAGCCCAAGAAAGGGAAGGGCTTGCTGCTCACATCTCTGCAGGTTAAGTAAGAACTGAATGATTGTCACAGCCATGCCAGGGGCTTTCTATGTGGCTTGTTCCCATGCAATGGAGTAGCCCTGGGAGGCTGTCAAAGGGGAGGGACAGGTCTCTTACCTCTTAAGCCCATCTCCACTACTGCCTGATAGACCATGTTATGAATGTCCTTTGCCACATTCTTTAGACACTGGATCCCCCAGGGGTGATGGCCTGGGAAAGCATGCCTTCTTTGCCACCTTTGAGGTAGATTTGACAGCAGGGATCCAAACTTTATCATTGGCAGTGCTCAATAATGCAGGAGTGCTCTGTGCAGCCTCCGTGTGCCAGGCCATAGGTGCACACAGGCTCTGGGATTGGCAATGACTGTTTTCCTGGTGCTTAGTGATGATGTCCACCATGTGGGACTCAAAGGCTTGGGCGTAGCTAATAGGTCACTGCAGGAACTTGGACCTCCACTAGGGGGCAGGTCACCTATTCTGTGTTGACAGGAACAGGTGGAGGTCCTGCCTTCAGCCTTGTAGATGCCCTTTCCTGCTGGGCTTGGGCTTCGGGGCAGGATCTCAGTGGGGTTGAATAAGCCCTGGTCACCTTTACTTCCTCCTGGCAGGAACACCCAGAGGTATCCCGAGTGCTGACACTAGTGGCAGACAAACAGCTCAGGAGCTTATTCTACCCTACTAAGTCCTCCCACCTTTGGCCACAAGTACCACCTCTCAGGCTCTGCTTCTAGATTGCTGGGTCTCTGCCCACCTATCCTTTGGGAACTCTGCAGGTGCTTCCTAGGGTTCCTCATCCCCAGGCTACCCTGGGAAGAGAGACACTGTCACCCTGCCCACCCAGTTCTTGAGGACTCATAGAACTTATGAGAGCAATGAACTAAAAATTCCTCCAAGCCTTTAAGGGCCTGGACCCCTGTCCAGCCTATACCTGATACCAGCCTGGGCCATGTAGGCCTATCTGTCTCCATATCTGCTCAGTCAAGTTTTCCTACCTACCTCTTTATACAGAGACATGCCACGGGCTGTGTCCAGACTCTTGGGCCTCTTGGTCTGAAAAAGCAGAGGACTTGGTCACTTGTGTAGATATTGTCCAGGCCCCTTACCCCATCCTCATTACATGGAATCTGGCCTTGTGGAGCCAACCTGAGCCCCAGCCCCACTCACCAGTCTCCGCTTCTCCAGACAAATGTCAAAGCTCCTGGCTCGGTTTGGCACCAGCTTCCTCAGGGGCACTCGGAGCTCCCCCAAGGGGGCTGCTCGTCGCCGCAGCCGTGAATCTTCATACACACATAACCTGGTGGCCACCAAGGTCACTTGTGGTCATACAAGTCCCACCCCATTCCTCCCTACTGGTGGCCCGCTCTGAGTCCTCACCTCAGGGTCTTCCGTCCAGCATCCTGGAGAGTGAAGCCATGATAGGTGAGCGTCTCCTCCCAGACAGGTCCCCTAGTGCCTCGAACAGTTCGGGTCCGAAGCTGGCTGGCCTGGAGCCAGGCAGGCAGGTCAGGTCAGGCACTCTCCTGGCCTCCTGCCCTAATTCTTGGATCCTAGCAACTGTCCTTGGGGTAGTGGTGAAGTAGGATCCTTAGGTACCTATACTGGCCCTGCCATCTAAGGGGCCTAGATCTTACTCACCTTGCTGGCCCCTGGCAGCAAGTTGGCTTTGACATAGGTATCCACAGAGCCTGAGGCTGGTGGCTTGAGGCCCTGGAACAGAAAATGGATGTAGAGAGAGGCCTGTGGCTTGTCCCATCCCAGGGACTCTGCCCCCATCCTCACCTTTGCACGATGGGCTGTGCAGTGTAGGGTGCTGTTGTCCGCATCAAAGAGAAGTGTGAACTCCAGAGTGCCCAGGGCAGCTAAGGTGGCAGGCGGCAGGCAAGGTCACCCCACTCTGGCACCCACCTGTCCCGCATGGCACAGTGCCACTTGCCTGGCCTCTGCCATGGGTGCTAGAGACACCCCTGACCCAGTCTTAGGGGGAACCCCCTCATTGTTTCCCCTACTCACTGCAGTCATCAGAGTCTCCTTCTGGTTCTGGGCTGGGCTGCAGCTGGGGTGCAGAGTGGATGGCCGGGGCCAGCATAGCCTGTGGGTCTGGTGCATGCAGAACCGGCTCCAGGAAGGGGTAGAAGTGTGGAAAGTAGTCAGAAATGAGACGGATGGGCTGTATGGGACCGGGGCTCACGTCGATGGCCATGTGTTCCTGCATGCTCACCCGCTGCCGCCCACCGGCTGGCCCTGTGCACGCCATGGTGGCTCAGACATAGAGACTCAGAGAAATTCCCACTTACTGGAGACACTGGGCACACACCTAGCCACCAAGATGGAATAAAGAGGCATCACCAAGGCTGCCCTGGGACAGACCAAAGTGTCCTAAGACTAAAGGAGCAGGGTTGGAAGCTCTCCCTGGAGGGTCAAGGCTAGAGGCAGCCCTCCGGGGTCCTTACCTCTCACAGCTGTGTCACATCGCCTTGCTGCTGCTGGCTCTGGATGTATGCTTAGGGTGACAGAACCTGAGACTAAAGTGGCCCATCTGAGCAGCTGTGTGACTGAGCAGGGGAGGGCATCAGGAGCCCACACTGCCCAAGGGCCCTTCCCTAGCACTAAGCACTGGGGGGCCAGCCTTGTCTCCTGCCTCTGCTCCTCCATTCACACTCTGTCAAACAGAGCTATTTTTACTACCATCATATGGTCCTGCTGCTGGGTAAGGAGGCTGCAGGGCCAGAGGTGTGATGGGGGTAGGTGGGAAAGGAAATAGGTGAGAAGGGCAGGAGGGTGGGGGAATGAAGGGAGGTGAGGAGAGGGGACTGTGGAGGTGTGCAAGGATGGGGAAGCTTCTGTGAGAGAAGAGGGTATGACAGCTGGCAAGGCCCTGCATTCTAGTTTCCTGAGGAAACCAGCTGGTGATCACACCACCCTCCAGCCCTGTCCCCTGGCTGGGAATACAATCAAAGCAGTCATGTCCCTTTGTCTCCAAGTCTGTCCCCTTGACGTTACCGTGGTACTGTGTGTGGTGGAAATGGACTATCACTCCATCTCCATGTGGCTCTTCTCTTCAGCCTTCCAGGTAGGACCTTCTACCTACACGGGCCTTCACCCTAGCCATTGGTCCCCTTCTTTGAGCTGATCCTGACTTCCTGACAGGGGATGTCACCGACAGTAGCTCACAGCTGCATCCCTTCCACTTCTGCTACCCAACAGCTTATTGGTTTCTGAGACAATGTCTCAATATGTAACACAAGTACAAGGGGGTCTTGTATTCTCCAGCCTCCTGTCTCTGCCTCCAGTGGGCAGGCATTACAGGGGTATGCCACATACTTTTCTTCTTTCACCTTTTAAACATTTATTTCATGTATGAATATACATACACATATGTGAGCATCCGTGTAGTGGGCAGAGGACAACTTGCAGGAGTTGGTTCTCTCCTCCCAACATGTGGGGCCCGGCTTTGCGGCTGGTGCCTTTACCCATCCAGCTATCTCACCAGCCCCTATTTTTCTTTTGAAATGGTCTTTCATTGGCTTAGGTCTTGCCAAGTAGCCTATCTTGGCTGGCCAGCAGCCCCAAGAGATTCATCTGTGTGTGCTAGAATTATAAGGGTGTGCCCTGCCTTTTCATGTTCCACACAGAAGATGCCAAGGCAGACTTATCAAAGACTCTTTTAATCAGCTCCAGAGAAGCCAGCTCAAATGAATGCAGAGGCACTTAAAGGCCAAGCCTCAACTCCTAGGAGCCTCGGGAACAGCTAGGTAGGGCTGGTAGATGCCCGGGGCCAGCAACTTCAGGGTGAATTCAGTGATGACAGCTGTGAGGCCCCAGACACGGTGTGGCCCATGCAAGACGACAGGCATTGTGTAGCGGAAGTGGCCACCCTGGCAGAAGTGGGTATACCCCTGGTTCTGTGTCTGCAGCAGGTGGGCCAGAGACAGCTCAAATACCTCATCCACCTGTGGACAAGAGATAGAGGGTGGACAGAGGACTGCCTCTGAGTCCCCTGCCTGGTAGGGCATCCCAGCAACCCAGTATCCCTCATTCACCTCCTCGGGGTTGGGCCTGAGGCGCTGCAGATCCAGTGGGCCCACGTTGGCAAGCACAGGAACTATGGTTGCCTTTCCCTGGGGTAGGTGGAGCGTGAGCAGTCAGGAGAAGCAAACCTGAAGGGCAGACCCTGCTCTGCCATCCAGAGGCCTTGGGTAGTCATGGCCAATACCTCTGGTATTTTTCCTTGGCTTCTTGCCACATTGCCAGATCGCAGGTTTGAAGGGTTTAGAACCTCCTTCCCTTACCTCTACTACCCTACAATCTCCCACTTGTCATTTAAACCCAGATCAATGCAGCCTACCCTGCAAGCCTTCCTGGACCCTGAGCAGGGCTGGCTCACCCCTTCACTAGGGGTACAGAGTGTGACAGGATAAGGATGGCTCACCCGGTCATACACAGGCTGCAGGGCACCCCACACATGCTCCTTAGGCACCTCTAGGCCCAGCTCCTCTTGAGTCTCCCGAAGGGCCGTATGTATTACATCTTGGTCTTCGGGATCACACTTACCACCTGGGAAACTGAATGGGCAAAGGAGTATCACAGGAGGCAAAGGAGGACCACAGGCCCTCAGGAGGCAGTTTACCTCCCTGTATCATTAGAGTAAGGGGAGACAGGCACTGGAGATGCAGCTTAGGGAATGAGGTTCCGCATCAGGGTTAAGACCAAGTCTGCCTATGGTGTCCCAGTGATACGGATAATGACCCTGGGGTGTCCTCAATTGCTTTAGCTTCGCCAAAAATGGAGACCCTCGGACAGCCTCTCTCCAGTCTCCGGTGAGGAGCAGAGTCCAGTTTCTGAAAGGAAAATTCAGCCGGGTGTACGGGCGTAGGTGGCGCGCCAGCACGGCCGGCGTACCTGACTTCCCCCCGGTGCTTCCCGACCAGGCGGCTGGAGCGCAGCGTGTAGAGCAGCGCCGGGACACCATGCACCAGGCACAGCGGCACAAGTACCGCGGCCGCCGCGGGCCGCGAGCGTAGCCGGGCAGTGGTCCCGGCTAGTAGCTGCCGGCAGCGCCGCTCGCCCTCGGCGGACAGGCAATCAGACAGCATGTCCCAGATGACCGGACATAGAGGGCGCCCGCCCGCGAGGGAGGGCACGCGACGGCGCGGAGAATGCGTCGAGGAGCTAGGTCCCAAAAGAGATTCGGAAGGGGGCGTTGCTGGGGGCTTTAGGACGAAGTCTCGGGGGCGGTAGGAAGTGTGCGCGCCTGCTGGGGCGGGGCCTCAGGTGGGCGGGGCGAGGCGGGGCGGGGCTTTCCGGAGTCGGGCTTTCGAGGCGGACCGTCCGGGGTTTCCCAAGCAAGGTCTCAGAGGTCGGTGGGACGGGTCCTGCCGGGGCGGGACCTCGGCGGCTTCGGGGGCTGGGCAGATAGGGGCATCTGGGCCGGGGCTTGCTGCTATTGGGCATCGGAGGTGATTGGGGTGGGGCACCTGGGGCGGGGCTTGCTAGGTGAGGGCAGAAACAAATTTGTGTACGGAGACCAGAGCGCCTCCTGAAGGAAACACCTGGCCTAGAGCTGGTGGAGGCGTGTCCGGAAAGGCGGGCCAGCTTGACTTGAGTTTCTTTCCGGGTCGTGGCTTCCCTATCAGTGCTGCCAGTTAGTTTTGGTCGTTGTGTTTTCGGAATGCTTGGGTGACCTGAATTGAATGGGTGCTGACGTCAGGTTCGGGAGTTGGGATGTCTGGATGCTGAAGATCTGATGGGCTCCTTGTCTCTCAGCTCTGTGGGTGTCGGTGCTTTCCAGAAGGTCTCATAGGAAGAGCTCCGGGTTGAGCAGAATCGGAGTCTTCCGGTTCCCGGGGCGCCCACTCCAAGAGAATGAAGCATACACGCCAACCCCCAGCCTTATCCCACCAGCATCTATCGAGCTCCTGTTCTCCTGGACTTTTCCCTCCCTACACACATCCCTACCCTGGCCTGTGTGATTCCTACTAAGCCATATTAAGCACCCCTCGATGGCCTCTAGCCTTTAGGACCACCCTTGGAGCACAGCATTTAAGTGGAGTGACAGCTGTCAGCTGGACTTCGCTGTGTGACTGAGCAGAAGCCTCTCTGAGCTGCTTACAAACTTATGTGGGTGTGCAAAGTAGGGAACACATCAGCTTAAGCGCAACCTTGCTTGTGTCATCACTGTTAACATCACCCCGGGCTCTTAGGTCCAGCTTTTGGATACCTACAAAGGCGATGGGACTGTCTGGTCTGGGTGTTCCTGTGGACAGATGTGCTCTGCCTCCTGGTATCAAGTATTTTAATACAGGGGAAGGACAATCAAAGCAGGATGTTGAGGGGTTATCATTGAGGTGGGGGGGGCAGGATTCAGGGCTTCAGGGTAGGAGTCCCAATTCCAAGAATGGCAGGCCCTAAACTGGCTTTGAGGCAGGAACCATTGCCTTCACAGCTTCCAGTTACCCTGCTTTCCTTAGAAGATGTCTCTACAGAGGAGGGCAGGAGAGCTGGGGCACAGGGTAAAAGGACTTCCAAAGCATTTGGCCATCAGGGGGAGTCTTGGCTAGACCCCAAGCACAAGGCAGAGGAAGGCAGGAGCCCGAGCCCAGCTCGGAGGGTGGGGTCTTCCTGATCTCCATCAGTGCCAATGTTGGGGAGAGGGTATGGTGCCAGCCGAGCCCTTGGGATTCCAACATGGCCAGGGGCTCCAGTGTACAGGTCCTGGTAAGGGAGGGGCCTGTAGGTGGCAGGGGCCAGCAGGACCTCTGGGGCAGGCAGCAGCTGATGGTGTGGCTGGGTAGGGGTCCTGGAGTTGGAAGCTGAAGCTTTACTGGCTTCTGAGGGAGAGAACGGTTTAAGTGGATGGCACATTTCCCCTCACAGCCCAGTCCAGTCTGCCTTGTTGCTGGTCGCCCGTCTTGGCCTGCTTCAGTATTTCTCCCTGTTCTCTTCTCTGCCTGGACTTTCTTCCTTTCCTTCTCCTCTATCCCAAGCTAGACTTGCACCTCCAGTGCCCAGCTCAGGATCCCCCCACCCCAGCCCACCCGGAGCCCTCCTGTGCTCTACCCTGTCTCTGCCCTGTTATCTTTGCCCTGGGCCTTTCTGCCCAGGTGGGGGTGAGGGGCAGGGATCTTGCTGATCACACTCTTCCTGTGTGCTTGGTATTGTGTTTGGGCTGGGTCCTCACCTTTCTCTCGTTCTGCAGATCCTTTAAGCAGGCAGGTACTGAGGCTGCCACGACTGCGGGCTGGGATGCTGAGCAGTGGCCTTGGGGAAACAGGCCTGAAGATAGAGCAAGCAGGAATGGGGAAGGAGGCAAGGAGACCCCCCCCACACACACACAGATATTATGGTCACAGTCAGATAGGGGATCCCAGGGCAAACCAGAGGACACAAATGTGAAACAGGACAGAAGCGAAGGCCTTAGGAGCTGCCTGGGTAGAGCCTGGGTACAGAGCTGGGCTAAGAGCAAGAAGGCATATGTGAGATAGTACCATGAGTCTGGGTCACTCTCTCTGAAGCCTTTGGCGAAGGGGTTGCTGGCAATTTTCAGCTGTGTGATCTACAAAGAGAAAGTATAGTTATGGGCTGGCCTCTAGCCATTGAGCCCTGAAGAGGCCACACTTAGCCACTCTGTCCTCTGGGAATTTCCAGTCAGCAGAACCCAGACCCCCTTGGCCCAGGACCTCCAGAGCCAGCATGAAGGCAGATATTTAGGGGAGAGGAGGAACCTCCAGCCTCAGTCTCCACCCTTCAGAGATGGGCTGGAGGTCATGAGCTCTGGCATGACCCACCCGGTGGTTCTGATAGGCTGTCACAGCTGTGAACTGGGTCTCCGTGAAGACAAATGACTTGAAGTTTTCCTGTGCATAGCGGGCACTGTCCTTGCGTGGATCCACAAAGACCACATGGAAACGGGGCTGGTAACGGTGCATGGAGTTGAGAATGATCTGTAGAAGGGTGGGAGCTGAGTGCAGAGGTAGAGCTCATGTAGCTACCCTCCCTAGGCCCAAGATCCTATCCCTTCTTGCCCATGGCCCATCTGTTGTTTACCTTCAGAACTACGTAGCATCTCACTACCTCGCTGTCTATCACCGTGTTAGCCACAGAGAGGAAAAGCCAGGATTCTCCCTCATCACCTGACCTATTCACTCCCCACTTTCCTCGTCTTCACTTCAGCCCCACTGGGAGTCTCCCTGCAGTTTCCGATCTAGCACCTTCCCTCCCTCCTTCTCTTCCTTCAAATACCCATTCAAATACCACACCAACCCTGCTACAACTGGCTCAACCCCTCCCTGTGATGGCTTAATGGCTTGTGCCTCACGTGGCCGTTGTCATCCATCAGGTTGTTGGTCAGCTTGAGTTTGTCAAAGGACACAATCTGACGCATCCACTGCGCACCCTTGGCTGGTGAGTCAGGATGGAAGTGTACTCTGCCAGGTGTGGCGGGGTCAGCCTTGCCTGCCACCAGCCAGGCAGAACTGTGGAAGGCATACCTGGGGGGGGGGGGCAGGGTGAGAGGTCAAGGGCTGTCCCCAGCCTGCTCAGTGGTGAAGAGGCTGATCCTGAACAGGCATGCTTAGTCTGCCTGGTGAGCATCCTTTGTTTTTAGATTAATTCTGTGTGTGTGTGTGCATGCCTGTGCATGCCTTAGGCTAGCCCATTCCCTCAGTGCTGGGCTTCCTTCTTCCTAAAGGCTGTAGCTCTAGGATAGGCCTCCTCAGAAGGACTCCTCATCACCCTGTCTGCCCTTGAGGTCCAGTTCATGTCCTCAGCATCCCTGTCCCCCCAGGGCCCAGACCTGTATCTCTTGTCATCCAGGGGGATGAAGTCCATGAGCAGAGCATAGTCAGCCAGTGTGTCCATGCCCAAGATCTTCACCTGGAAGGTGGGGAACATCCTCCTGTGGGAGGGAGGTGCTCAGCCTGGCTGTGGCCCCCACCCCTGCCCAGCCCCCACTGTCCATGCCCACACCTGCCCGCCTTGGTGACGATCATTTCTGTGCCCAGCTGGTTGAATTCTTCCCACAGTGGCTTCATCTCCAACTGCACCATCACACTGGACACACGTGGGTTCTTGGGACCCTGCCCAGTGGGCTCCATCATGGCTGGGGCTTCTGTGGACATGGTGCAGGGATCTGATGGGAATGACATCCCCAGCTGGGGCTCCCAGCTGGTGCTGGTCACAGGTGGGGGGTATGTCTCTGGGGGAGCAAGTACCCCTAGGCCAGCAGACAGGAAGACTGTGGAGAGAGGATGGAGCCTTGAGCCCTGAAGGCCTCCCTGCCTGCCAGGCTTCTGCTCCCAGCATTGCCATAAGACACTACCCCATCTCCATATTCAATTACAGTAAGCTTGTTTTGTTTTTCCTGAGACATGGTCTCAGGTAGCTCAGACTGGCCTCGTGTAACTCATTATGTATCAGAAAATATCCTTAAACTTTGGATTCTCTTGCCTCCACTTCCCAGGGCCTAGGATTACAAGCATGTGTCACCATGACTAACTGTATGGGAGTGTTGAGGCTTGGGAGCATGAGGTAGCCAAGGCTGACCATAAGCTAGGGGGACTCCTCCTGCCTCAGCTTTTCAAGTGCCAGGATTACAGCCACTGTTCCTAATTTAAAGTCTTTCCCCCAGAAAGATTCTGGAGGGCAGAGCTACATGGCCTTGGACAAGTCGTCTCACCTGTTGGATCCCCATTTTCCCTATCTCATAGGACAAATACCCACACCATGAGGAGAGCAGAGTGTGACACACACGAGTCTCTTCAAAGGTAACATATTTACAGATGGGCAAAAGTGAGGAAGCACGACACTTACAAAGCTCTGTGGAGCCCCAGCTGCCTAGTGTTGTTTTCGGGGAAGGGTCTGAAAGGGGATCTCAGTTCATCCAATTTATCTAAATTATCTTCTTTAGACCGGAAACCTGAGCTATATCCCCAGAAAAACCTTTAAATTGTGGCTATAGTACACATAATGTAAAAATTCCATGTTAACCACATTTAAGCATGTGATTCATGGCATTAGGATTTTCATGGCTGTGCAACTGCCCACCCACACCCCAAGCACTCGCCATGTTCTGGACAATCTTCTGTCACAATTTCCAATACAAGCCATTGCTGAAAGCCTCTTAACTCTCTAGTCTCCCATTTAAAATAATGATGCTTGGGCTATGGGATGTCTCAGCAGGTGAAGGAGCTTGCTGCCAAACAGGAATACATGAGTTCAATTCCCAGGATCCACATGGTAGAAGGAGAAAACTGACTGCACTTATCCTCTGATTTCCATTAGTGCACACTGTGCAAGTTTGCTTTCTTTTGATGTCATAAACACCAGGACTGAAAGCAACTAGAGGAGGAAAGGGTTTGTTTGGCTTGCAGGTCTTAGTCCATCATTGAGGGAAGTCAGGGTAGAAACTCAAGCAGGAGTTTGGAGGTAGGAACTGAAGCTGTGGAAAAACACTGCTCACTGGCTTTCTCCTCATGGCTTGTTCAGCATGCTTCCTTTTTTTCTTTCTTGTTTTGGTTTGGTTTTTGTTGTTTTGTTTTTTGATGGTTGAGTCAGGGTTTCTCTGTATAGCTCAGGCTGTCCTGGAACTCACTCTATAGACTAGGCTAGCCTCGAACTCAGAGATTTACCTGCCGCTGCTTCCTGAATGTTTCCATTAAAGGCATACACAAATACTGCCTGGCCCTCAGCTTGCTTTTTATATGACCCAGAGCCACCTGCCCAGGGTGGCATCACACCAGTGGGCTGCATCCTCCACACCAGTCTTTAATCAAGAAAAATGCCTTAGAGACATGCCCACATGGCATTCTATTGCAAACAACCAGGTGAATTCCTTTTTTCAAAATGACTCTAGCTTGCGTGAAGTTGACAACTAACCAGCACACACACAATAAATAACAAAATAATGATGCTAGGCTGGGGACACAGCTCAGCTGGTAGATTGCTTGCCTAATGTGCACAAAACACTAAGTTTGATCCCCAGTGCCACATTAAAACCACAGCAGCATAGTAGTACATGCCTGTAATGCTAAGGACTTGAGAGGCAGGAGGATCAGAAGTTCAAGGCTCTTCTCAGCTATGTAGTGAGTTGAGGCCAGCCTGGGATACATGAGACCCTGTCTCAAAAAAAAAAAAAAAAAAAAAAAAAAAAAAAAAAAAAGTGGTGAGAAAAAGCAAAAAGAAAATTAACAAGATTAACAAGCAAACAAAATGGATAAGACTCTGCTTTAAAACTGCAAATGACTAAAAGAGTGGTACTATTCTCAGTAAGATTCCAAGTCCAGCCATCAAAATGGCTGCTAGGATAAGAAAAGAAGCCAGAACCGAACAAGTGTGGAAGAAATCCTAGGGTTGGTGGAATTTAAAATGGGGCTGCCTTTTCAAACAATCAGAGGTCCTATAAAACTAAACATGGATCACTGAAGTAGGAACCCACACAAAGCTGTCTGCACCCCCACCTCAGGGCAGCGCTGTTTGGAAGAGCCAAAAGGAAGAAAAGCCAGAAGCAGTCGAGTGTCCACTGACAGATGAGCAAATAAATAAACTACAGCTCACAATGGGATACTGGTCATCCTGTAAAGGTAAGGACTTTGTGAGGCAGTGTGTGCATGCATTCGTGTGTGTGTGTGTGTGTGTGTGTGTGTGTGTGTGCGTTCTGCTCAGTGAGATAATCCAGAAGGACAGGGCCAAACTGTATAACTCGATTCACAGAAGGTAAAACGTTACAGAAACACAGAAAGTTCAAGGTGGTTGTCAGGGTCTCTAGGAGGAAAAATGTTCAGTGGTGACGAGAGAGTTTCAGCTTTATAAGATGCAAAAGATGTAAGCAGACTGTGGTGAGGGGCATACAGCCATGAATGTCCTAATACCTAATGCTGTACGCTGAAGCGTGGTTAACACAGTAAATTTTACATTATCTATTCTTGCCGCAATTTAAAGGTTTTGCCGGGGATACAGATCAGCAATTGAGCACTTGCCCAGCATGTACGGGGCGATTTGTTTTCAGTGCTCAGCTCTGGATTTTAAAAAAGGTTGTTTTGAGCCTGTGCACACCTGTACTCCCAATGCTTGGAAGCTGAAGTTATTCTCAGCTACATACTGAATTTAAGGTCAGCCTCAGCTACATGGCACCTGTGTTCAATACAGAAACAAAAATCAGTGGAGAACAATATTCCAGTAAGGGGCTGAGGACAGGAGGACATGGTGGCCAGAAGTCAGGAGGCAAGGTCTCCATTCCAGCAGGGCCACCAGGCAAGCCTGAACAAGGACAGATAGACGAGAGAGATGGGAGGGCTGGTGAGCTGGCTCAGCAGGTGGAATGGTTGCCATGGAAGTCAGACAACCTGCATTTAATTTCCAGAACCAACCAAGCTGGAAAGAGAACCAACTCCACAAGTTGTCCTCTGACTCCCACATGTGTTCCATGGCTGCCCCACCCTGCCACACACACTTGCATGCATATATGGGCAGCAAAGTGCACATACAATGATTATAAACAATAAAAAGGCAGATGGCTGCAGGTGTCCTAGGTGACACCAGGTCGGCAGTGCCACTGGACTGCTTACAGAGCATGTGAGCACAGGGTTTTGCTACAGCCCTGACTGCCCCTGTCCCATGAAGAGCAACATGTCACAAGATCCTGGGATTGTGGCAAGGGGTTGGAGGCCTTTGGGAGAAGACATCGGCTGGATCTGAGGCTGTAGCTTAGGAAGCCTCCCATCCAGTTGCTCAAGCCCCAGAACCCCACCGCTTACAAGGCCACTTCTACTGCCTGAACCATACCTACCTGCCATGCGGACAGTGAGATCTCAGCTCAGGTCAAGCTGGGCTGCAGCCTCACCCAGGGAGGGGCAGCCAGCGATGCTGGGTTGTCTTCTATGCTCAGCAATACACCTCACTCGCAAGCGTGCACAAGTCCCCAGTTCTCAGTACTGTCCTTCCCGCCTCGATTGTCCTCTGTCCACGTCCCTGGCCAAGGCTTTTCCTCTTGAGCTGGCACTTGGTCTGGATGTTCATAAAGTCTGTCTCTGGGATTCTTGGGTTGAGTGTCTCCAAAGCACCTCTGATTGTAGTGTGTGGAGCTGGGCCACTGACTGGGGTTAGCTGCAGGGGCAGGCGCATGTGGAAGGGGGCAGGTGGGGAGGTTGTGATGTTGCAAAGCCCCACCTCTCCTCTCCTGGTCCTCTCTCCCTTCTCCAGCTAAGAGCCCCCCAGCTATTCCTGATCAATGGGCCCCAGTGCAGGTGGGGGTGGGGTGCCATCTTGAGGACAGCCTGGTGTCCACAGGGAGCAGGATCTGGTTAGATAAAAGGGCTGAAGGGGAGGCAGCAGAAGAGGCTGCAAATGAGGGCTGAGTGCAGAGGTGATGCCCTCCCTCCTAGCCTAAGGCCCCAGCCTACTGGTATTGAATGGGGCAAGGGACAAGCAGGAAACACAAGAGAGGCAGGGAGAGCTCCACATTGGGTACTAAGATATTCAGATCCTCCTGCCAGTCCTAATTGCCTCAGTTTCCCTGACCTCAGTGAATAATCAACTGCCTGGGATGATCCAGCCTTAGCTGAAAATGGCATAGCAGTGGTCATCCCTTACCTATCATCGCCATTAGGGTAGACTGAGGCAGGCTGTGTATCTAGCCCCTGGTCCCTCTCCAGCCTTGCTGGGCACCTCCTCCAAGCTTCCCCATCTGGGGAACCTAGTCACGGCCAGAGACAGATGGAAGGCCCTAAGTCTGTACATCCTTAGCTGAGGGCACCCCTTGACTAGTGGCCTGTACTAAATGGCCCACAAAAACTCACCTGTCCAGGCCACCACAGCCCACCCTGGAGGGAATATCCAGGCATCCTTAGAGTTTGGTGCTGGAAGACTAGGTTCATAGAAGCCATGGTCTCTGCCAGGGCCAAACAAGGGCAGGACCCAAACCCATAGCTAGAGGGGTGCTTTTCTCTGAGTGTGGTGCTTGAGGTACAGGCTGGCTAGCTCTGCCTCTCCCTGCTACTCATTCAGTGTCCCTCAGCCTGAAGCTGGACACGGACACACACACACAGGGTCGGGGGATCCCACCTTGCATGAATCCATACTCCACTATATGGAGGACATTGACATTTGCTCTTGAGCTTTCAGCCAGGCAGGAAAGAGGTGCTGTCTGCCAATGTCTCCCAGGGGCCGCCAATGTCTCCCAGGGGCCTCCAATGTCTCCCAGGGGCCTCCAATGTCTCCCAGGGGCCTCCAATGAAGTGTGTCCCAAGCCCTCCTGCCCCGAATTCAATGTGATGAGTGGAAAGTAGGAGAGACAAAGGAGAGGTTGGGGGTCTGTCCCAGTCTTTGCAAATCATCCTCAGCCCGGATTCCCAGGAGTGGGGTTTTGTTGGGTCTCGATGTATATGTGTCTGTACTTGCCTTTGATACATGTAATGGGAAGCATAAACACATGAGCATAGAAATATTAACCCACATGCCTACATGCACATTCATGAACTCAGAGGCAGGACTGTGGATGGAGGTTTTGTATGTGTGTGTGTGTGTGTAATCTTTCCACACAGGGAACACAGCCCAGCACATGAACACACACACACTGTACAAGGCAAGACATCCTGCACCCCTCCCTAACTGACCTGCCTTCCTGCCCCAGGCTCCGGCTGGCCCGCACTGCCCTCTCATCCATCTTGCCTGCCAGCTGGTCCCCGGCGCGCCCATATCCTTCACACCTTCTCATCTCACAGCTCAATACCAGGAGGCAGCATGGCAGCCATGGCCGCAGGGAGATGAATGGGCCAGGCAGACTGCGGAGCTCCAGAGAATGAGGGCTGCAGGAGGACAGGGCTCTGGGCCCCAGCATCCTGACCTTTCCTGGGCAGTTTGCAATGCTGTGCCTACCCAGGAGGGCACCTGAGTGAGGACTGGGGGGGTGGGAACACCACTATGACCTTGCATTAGGGTTAGGGGGCCAGGGTGGAGCTGGAGGACAGTCCTGGCAGGGAAGGCACTGAGACCTGGGTCCTCTCAGATTTCAGTTCATGTTCATTTCCCTGGTGCTGGGGAGTATGGGGAGATAGAGAAGGCGGTAGTAGTAGTAAGGAACTTTGGCTTCCTTGGCTTCTGGTAGGCTTCCTTCTACCCCAACCCAAGGCATCTCCTGGAGAGCCCTGCAGCTGGGCTGTTGTCCTGGGTATACCCCTTCTGCATCCTGAATCCATTTGAGTCACCTAGAAATTTGCATCTGGGCTATGTGCATACCTACATACAGATAGCCTCAGAAGAACACTTGTGGGCCCAGTACTAAGAACACTTGGGTAGGCACACACCTGGACGAGCATAGCTGTGGACACTTACATGGGCACATGTCTGTAAGAGGGCTGGGGATCCCTCTTGGGCTCCTGGAAGTCCCTCTCCAGATCCTTCTCCACACATAGGGATCACTCTCTATTTTCAGGATTTGTGGCCAAATGTGGGCACAGAGACTACTACCACTGGTCCCAGGCTCAAGGTTACACTGGCTGGCCCTTCCCTCAGCTTCCCCTTTAGGATGCTATGCCTACTATGCATGGTCCTGTGGACATCCCTACCCTCCTTCACCCACCTCCCGAGTCAAAGAGAGGCCATATTGGACAGAGAACAAGAACCATGGTTTCCAAGCACATTCCATTTTATATCATAGGATCAGTTGTCTGGCAAGGGACATGGTGCCCAGAGTAGGACAGGGGACCCTGGGCTTGAAACTGTGCCTTGGGACCCATTGTTCAGGTAGTGAGATTGAAACCAGGCAGGCATGACTTGGGTTAGGGGGCCAGAGTGGAGCTGGAGGTCAGTCCGGGCAGAGCAGGCACCGAGACCCGGATCCTCTCAGATTTCAGGAAAGCCACGTGCTTCTCGTAGTAGGCTGCTTCATTAATGAACACAGGATACACAATGGAGTTCCCCTCATACAGCACATCCTCACCACTGAACAGCTTGAAGATGGGTTCACCAGGCCTCAGCGGCTCAAAGTCATGGTCCTGGGAGAAGAGCCAAGGCCAAGGTTGCTGGGGCATGACCTCTGCCCCCTATCCCTGCCCCAGAAGGGAGTAACTCCAGCCTTGCCTAGAAGCACTGCTTAAAAATAGGGTTAGTTCTGAGAAATGTGTCATCAGGTGCAAGAACATCAGGGAGCATACTATGCAAATTAGGATGGTTACAACATCATCAGGTAATACCCTCTCACCAGAATTGCTTCTGTATACAGTCTCCTCTTGGACAAAACATACAACATGCTTATATTTTTTAAAGTAACTCCCTAAAATAGCATTTGCATACAAAGCATATGGGCAGAACTGGCTTAGGATGCTCTCTATCAGGTGCCAAATACTCTTGAAAATACCAAGACTGCTTTAGGAAAAAGCCACAGGTCTGCACGAGACCATGTTCAACAGCAACCCTGTGTGGACAGTCAGCTCACAGACACAGGCTGCACACATACCCATGGAAAAAGAATATTTGCACTTCAAATCAGAGGACCTGTTTTCTGTCCCCTCCCTTCTGCTTCTTCAGTCAAAGGGCAGCCACCGAGAAGCCTCCCTCCACCCCAAGTGTGAGGGTTGCTGTGGCTTCAAACGCCAGGTGTGAAGCAGGGCTTCAGGTGCAGCCGTGGACTGGACCAGCCTCTGTTCCAGCTCAGAGTCTAGGGGGCTGGGGGGCATCCCTCCCAACCCTCACACTCCCTGCAGCACCTACCTGCAGCTGAGGGTGAACAGTGCCGATCAGATCACCGTCTGCTGTGCGTGGGAAGTCCACACTGCCCAAGTTCCTGTAGATGTCCATTTCAAAGGCAGGAAAGGCCATGCCTGTGTAGAGGTTAGATGTGTCCAGGAGCCAGCCCTCTCCCCAGACCTATTTCCCTGCCGGCCACTGTGGCGTCTCACCTTGGTTGAAGAGCTCGATGAAGTCCAGAATGGACGCCACTAGATTTCTCATCTGTGAGAACAGGTCGGCCCGAAGTACGCCCTGAGGCTGGGGGCCCATCTCCAGACCTGGGGACCAGGAAAGGAGATGTCAGACAGGTGCCCCAGGTCCAGACACCCACCTAGGGTCCCTCTTCTCTGGGTCCTGATTCCATCCCCCAAGTGTCTGTGCTACCCCTTCCAACTCTACTGTTCCAGACCCTAGCCCTGACTCCGCCTTCTAGCCCCTTCCCTCTCGTCCTCCCACCCCATCCCCCTCACAGATCCCATCCTTGGACACAGATTCCACGCTGTAGGTCTCCTTCCCGGATATGTCATACTGAAAGAGGCGGCATGGCAACCCTGGGTTCTGCAGCTGTGGAGTGAGAGGGACCAGTCAGAACCCAGGCCTTCTTGAGAGGGGAAACTGAGGCACTGAGGCTGGGACCTTTAGATGGCAGGCCCCTGGGGACAAGGGACGGATAGAGGTGGTACTGATCACTCTGCCCCCTCCACGCCCCCCTCCCTGCCCTCTAGGGGCCACACCTGTAGGTAGCGGCACAGGTGCAAGTTGAAGGAGCTGTGGGAGGCTTCAGAGATGAGGCAGACGCCAGTGTTGGCTGTGGTGTTGTGCAGGTCTAGGATAAAGTCAAAAGCCTGGTCTGTGCCCTTGGGGCCCAGTAGCTGGTTCAACTCTTGTGCTCTTGTCACTTCATATGGGCCATTGGGAGTGTCTGTGGAACTGTGGGAAAAGGAGTGGGGGACACCAGTCCCCAGTACCTCAATCAGTGTCCTTTTTCTTGGCTAACGTCTCACCATTGAGACGTCTCACCATTGGCTGAGATGCCACCTTCTACAAGAAGCCTTTCCTGACTGCTCTTGGCCAGGTTGGATGTTTCACTTAGCACCCCTCCCCCGCCCTTCCTCTGTGTCCCCAGTAACCTGAGGCTCACACCTTGGTCCTATTCCCCATGTGAGTCTCACTCCAGCTGTTAAAAGTCTGGCCTAAGGTTCAGTGACTGACCCATTGTGCCGTCAGGACAGACTTCTTGGAAGAAGTGACTTTGATCTGGATCTCTTGAAAGCAGAGGGTCAATAAGCAAAGGCAGGCAGGGCTGCCTTGCTAGTTACAGAGGAGGGTCTGCAGGGATGTTAGTACCCGGCTGTGGACCAGCCAACCTGGCCAAGTGTACTCACCCAAGGAAAGTGAGGGTAAAAGTGCGATTGAGATCACGGTCCATGTAACGCCGACAGGCAGCTGTGGCTGCTGGGTTGGCCAGAACTGGCATGGCTGAGAAGCTGGGTCTCTTCAGCTCCCCTGGAGCCTGCAGCCAGTGCCGGATCAGGTAGATGCCACACATCTCATTTCCATGGGTGCCCCCAGTCACAGCCACTCGGCGCAGGGGCTCCCGGGGCACAGGCAGGGAGCTCATCACAGTGTGGGGCAGGAGTCTATAAGAGACGGAGCAGGACAGCAGCGTGAGCTCCCCAGGCCCTGAGAAGTCTGAGAGGTAGCAGGGTGGTAATGTCAACTGTGTCCCACCTGTACCCAGAAGCCAAGCTCAAGGATGCCTTCAGTGAAATTTTTGTTCCACTTGGCACCTCAGTCCCACCTCTGGAACTTTCTTTGAGGGTGAGGTGCTCTCCTCACTTTTCTCCCAGAGGCCACACTTTCTTTCCTCAATGCCTTTAGAAGGAATTTCTTCCACCTGTGAAACCAACACAGGAGCCACATTGTCATACATTGTTATTAAGTCTCCATCCCTTAGAAGAATAAGTTTCTGTTTCCTGCAAACCATGTTTTTCAACCTATACTGAACTTGTAACCCCATAATGTATACCCAGCCCCTTGTGTTGTTAAACTCCTGAACACCTGTGGTGGCACACCTGCCAACCCCTTGGCAGACAGCCTTGAGCCCTGAGTCCCATTACCCTTCTGTCCAGTCACTAACAGCAATGATCTCAACAGCTGTTTTCTACGAGCCTAAGCCTTCCCCATCAAAGAGACCTCAAAACCCTTTGGGGGGGCTGCTCTCTGAAACCCGACTTAGGGGGATGCTCTCAATCTGGCCAGTCCCTTGTGCACCTCTAAATCCAGATTGCTTTAATCACATAGCCTTGGAAATTGCTCTTTCTCAGATCTAACATAGCTAACCTGAGAAGAGGGACTCAGACATTCAAAAGGGTGGGTTGGTCCCATCCCCACCATCATCACCACAGACAGTGCCAAGCTTTCCAGGGAGAGGAGACTGTCACCCCATTAGCTGTGCAGCAACAATCTAGGGTCCAGGCCACCCCTGTGAACTGGCAGGAAGCCTCTACAAGGCCTCTTACCTGCTGCTGCGTGCCTGGGCTTCCCTAGGCCACAGGCCTGATGTGTGTACCTCCTAGCCCACAGTACTTACAGGCCTGGAGGCTCCACACAGGAAGTGTTTGTGCCCAGTTAGAGTGGCTGGGCTGAGGGCCAAGCAGCCAAAGTTCTCAGGGCCCCACCCCCATGGCCTAATAGGTCCAGAACCCTGGGGCAAGTTCCTGTAATTGCCCTCTGCCAGGGGACAGTTCTATCCGCCAGGGCCTCTGAGGACTCCTGCTGGAAGCTGCACTTACTCTTGGAAAATTAATCTCAGATATTCCTGACCTGGCATGTAACACAAAAAATAAAAGACCCAGATGTTATGAGTTGTTTTTCTGACAGCTCCAAATAACACACAGGGACGCTGTATTAGATAAAATGCTGTTGGCCAGTTACTAGTGTTTCTTATTGGCTTGCTCTGTCTTAAACATTAACCCATTTCTATTAATCTAAGTATTTCCACGTGGTCTTATCTTACCAGAGAGAGGGCCTGGCGTTCTTCTCTCTCAGTCCACCATCTTGACTCTCCTCCCTCCTACTTCCTCTCTCTTCCTAGTCTCCTAGTCCCATCTATTTTGCTTTCCTATTGGCCAACAGTGCTTTATTCATTAACCAATAAGAGAAACATATTTACAGAATGACATCTCCCATCATCTCTTTTTTTCTGTCTAAATAAAAAGGGTTTTAATTTTTAACATATCAAAATATATCACACAACACTTATCAAATAAGAATCACAGGTAACATTATTTAGTCCATTAACATTTAATAAGATTTAAAATAAATATTCTATCAACTATCCTGTCTTTGTGAGTCTAAAGTCTTATATGTAACTTATTTTTAAATCTTAACTAAAGAAAACTATAACCATAACTATCTGTCTTCAACTCCCTCAAAGACCACAGAAGGATAATATATAAACTCTAGAAATGACAGAGACAACTTACTGGCCTGGTCAGTCACCTGAAGTTCTTCTGTAATGTTCCATCTTCAGCCTATAGGCCATAGTGTGTCTGGCAGACTCCTCAGCAAAGCAGGAAACTTTAAACTGTCCATATGTATGGGCAGTTTGTCAGTCACTTTTCTCTGTGTCCTGCAGACTGTCTGGCAGACTCTTCCGTGAAACAGGAACCCTGTAGCAATGTCCATCTTGTTTCGGCAGTCATTTTTCTGTGGGTCCTGCATGTCCAGTTTATACAGCATAAAGTTAAACAGCCCAGACAAGAGCAGTATCTTACCCAAATGGTTAGTCTTGTCATACTGGAGGCAAACTCCATAACGTGTTTCTTTGATGTCCATCTTCTTTCTGACACAGGTGGTGTTGCCAGGAACAGTTATGTCTCACTGTTAAGAAAAACCCCAAACCATTTTAAATGCCATATTCTGTGGGTCTTTGATAGGTTTGAAGACTGCCTGTCCATTTCAAATACATCTCTATGTATCTAGAAAACCTAACTAACACTATAAATTTTGACTATTATAGATAACTATCTATAATCTGTACTAAATTACACATTACATTTCTAAATGAGCTATGCAAACACAATATCTAAACAAGAGCAGAAATATACACATTACAAAATTGACCTTAAATTGTATCAATAAATGAAAATCATTCAAAAACAAAGTATTTATATCTGTATCATAATCTCCTTTTTACCTTTAAAGATATTGGTTGTGGTCATTAACCATTTATAACCAACACCATTTAAATGAAAACATACATAGACAATATTTGGGAATTTGGGCGTCATTCTTTTCAAACTGCTTCCTGTTGGTAGGGGACGCTGTCATGGGGATCCTAAGAAGACACAGAAATCTTGGCTGTAGCAGTCTGCAAGGCTGCTTTGTCCCATGAACATTGCTTCAGGGGGTCTTGCTTGATCAAACCATGTTAGCCTGGAAGGAATCCACAGCTTTTTATTTTCTGTGGAAACAAAAATAGAAATCCTTTTCCCCAGTAACTTGTCCTTGGACTTAAATTTTGAAGTCAAATCATTTTTAAAATATATAAATTGAATTAATCCAGCAGCATTTCTTTTAACAGTTGTTATTTCCTCAGCAGTCAAACGACCACACAGAAATATTTAGATTGATGGAAGTGGGTTAGTATTTAAGACAGCGCTAATGGATAAGAAACTAGTAACAGGCTAACAGCTTTATGTCAAATACAGCATCTCAGTGTGTTATTTGGGGTTGGCGTGGCAGAGAAACCAGGCCGGCAAGAAAACTACTCCTAGCACCCAGAGACAGATATTGGGGTTCAAGCTGAAGATCAGGGAAGCAAATCAGCCAGCCACTAGCTCTCACTTCTAACTCAGGCTGAAATGGCTGATCCATGCATGAGCTCTTCACCAAGTCTCAGACTGCTGCCTCTCCTCTGCAGCGAATGCCTCCTACTGAATCCTGAAGACCCTGCTTCTACCTTTTATACCCCTTTAGTTCTGGGACTAAAGCCATGTGATTTGTCACTCTTTCAATCATATGTATCCCTGTGTGGCCTTGAACTCAGAGAGATCGGTCTACCTCTTCTTAAACCTGAGTCCTAGTATTACAGGTGTGTACCACCACCCCCTAGCTTCTGGCTGCTGGGATGAAAGGTTTGTGCCTGGATTCTATGGCTTGTGGCTGACTTTGCTTCCTGAATCCCTCAGGCAAGCTTTAATAAATCATAAATAATACATCACTACACTGGAATGATGACTCCCAGTACTCAGAAAGGCTTTGCTGACTATGGAGGGGTTCAGGGCCTGGTCCCACATGGGTAGACAAGGCCCCAGCCTGTCTGGTGTCCTGCCCCATCCACCCAGAGAGGCACTTTCCTTAAGGCTAAGGTGGACACGGGTGGCTAGTGACTTGGTTGTGGCTGCACTAGCCTTGTACCTTGGGGCCACTAGAAAAGAAGTCCCCTTCCCTTGGCCTTCTTAGCATCATCCCCTGTCCTTGCAGCTCTAGGGCATCTCCCCACTTCTTTGAGGCTGGGACCCATGAGATTAAAATCTTAGAGCCCATTGATGCCTCAAATGAAATTGTGGTCTTTGTGGTCTTCAAAGGTGCTATAACCAAAATGGCTTTGTTGGCTCTGTTTTGGGAAACAACCCTCAGACCCAGTTTACAGATGTGGAAACTGAGGTTCAGGCAGAGTAGCTAACAGTGCACTGAACACAGGGAACAGTTGGACATGGAAGACAGGGTCTGACTCTGTTCCCTGCTGCCTCTATGGGGTCCTAGAGAAGGGTGAAGGAGACGTCCTTGTCCCACCCAGGGCTGTCCATCTCACTGAGCTCAATTGTTCACTGGCAGGAACCAAGCATTGTTCAGAGGTCAATGAGGAGAAAAGCAAGATGGAGGCAGTGAACCGCGCTGCTCACTTAACCATGCAGGCCTGTGTGTGCCGACTGAACCATGCAGGCCTGTGTGTGCCGACTGTCTGCACCTGGGCACCTGTGTCCCAGGATGCCCTCACTCTAAGACTTTTGCTGCTGAATGTCCAAGCTGACCAGATAGTTTGGGGCTTCTGGGTGGCCAGGGTCCTCTGACTCAGGTGGTCTGAGCCTGCCCTCTTACCATCCCCACCCTGTGGCTCTGCCAAGTCAATGGGATAGTGGGGCCCTGTGGCTTACCGTTGTTCTCACCAGGGCAACTGTCCTTTGGCAGAGAGCTGGAGGCGGTGAAGTACCTTTTCTGGAATCTGGGGTCTCAGCTGAGAGGCAGCAGAGACCTCCATGAGGCCATGAGGCCACCGGACCTTTCGCCAGCAGTTCCTAGGAGCTGTTCCCCAAGTCCTCACCCTGTAGGTGTCAGGGAGTATTGGAGGGGATGAGCAGATGAGTTGACTTGCCTCCTTCCCAGTCCCAACTGTGCTCCAGCCAAAAGCCTTAGTCACCCAGCTGCTGGGGTCCTGCTGACTCCCGCAGGGACTCAGAAGTGGGAATCATTTGTCAACTTGGCTGCTTGGGGGTGGGGTGGGGGGGGTGGGAGGTGGGGGGTGGCAGTGTTCAGTGCCCTTCCTGCCAGGAGGCACAGGGCTCTACCGAGCTATGGGGAGGGCAGCAGTGAGGAATGAATGCTTCATTTCCTTGGCTTCTCTGTTCCTGTGGGCTTCTAGAATGGAAATGGGACTGGGAGCCAACGTATAAACTCTCTCTCTCTCTCTCTCTCTCTCTCTCTCTCTCTCTCTCTCTCTCTGTGTGTGTGTGTGTGTGTGTGTGTGTGTGTGTGTCTATCTGTCTGTCTGTCTGTCTCAAATTCTAGGGGCAGACCCGATGAGTTATACCTCCAAGCCCCAGGA